ACAAAATCAGCAACATGGTTTTCGCAAGGGTAAATCGGTAACCACCGCTTTGGTAGACTTTACAGAGACTATTATAGAATCGGTTGAGAAAGGAAATAAAGTAGTTGGTATTTTTATGGACCTCACAAAAGCATTTGACAGTATTTCACACAAAATTCTTTTAAATAAATTAAAAAATATAGGTTTGCCTAACTTACAATTAAAATGTTTTGAATCGTATCTATTAAACAGAAAACAGTACGTGGAAATTACATCAATCAAAGACAACCAAGTTTTAAATCATAATTCTAATATAATGGAAATTAAACATGGCGTCCCTCAGGGATCAATTCTTGGGCCACTGTTGTTTCTGTGCTACGTTCAGGGAATGCCCTCTATTATAAATAATACTAATGACACGCAAAGCAATTTGATTCTCTATGCTGATGACTCAAATCTAATATCGACATCTAAAACATATCAAGGTCTTGAAGTATCATGTAGGGAACAGATACAAAATATCAAATCTTATTTCACAAGAAATTGTTTATTTTTAAACACGGATAAAACTAATAAAATGTTTTTTTCGACGGCACAGAACAAAGAAAAACCTACCATAAGAATAACCATTAACAATAGTGAAATAAACACAATAAACGTCACAACATTTTTAGGGATAGAGATTGATAATAATCTGAGTTGGGATGATCATGTTCAAAAAGTAACAAGTAAAATTTCTACAGGACTATATATTTTATATAGGATGTCATTTTTATGTAATTTTGATACTTTAAAAACAATATATTATGCTCATATTCATTCACATTTATCGTACGGGCTGGCAATTTATGGGGGCACTACAAAGCAAAACTTAGACAAAATCTTAATACTTCAAAAAAGAGCTTTGCGAATAATGCTAAATCTAGAGCGTGACGCTTCGGTAAAAAATAAGTTTTGCAATTTAAACATACTAACAGTGTATGACCAATATATTTTGGAGTGCATAATTTGCACAAAAAGTCAGCTCCACAATCACATCTTCCGTAGAGATATACATTCCTACTATACTAGAAATAGAAATACAATTGACATCCCCCAACATAAACTTAGCTTTTTTGAAAAAAAAGCGACTTACATGGGGACAAAATTTTTAAATAAATTGCCATTGAATTTAAAAACTCATATGGATAAAAAATGTTTCAGGGATAAAGTTAAAGCTTATCTTTTAACAAAGAATTGCTACTCTATAGAAGAGTTTTTTATTTGATTTTTATTCACCTTTTAAATCTGACAAGAATATTAGTTTTAAATCTATCAGTTTGTAATGTATATCTCTTCATATTTGAATTTTTGTATATACTTGCTGTTCTTAATGTATAGATTTGTTTCTATTGAGAATGAAGGTTTTTATTTTTTTGTATAAAACCGATATTAATTGTTGATTATATATGTTAAGATTTCTGTAAAACTATTTGTAGCCTATGTATTGAATGTATTGACTCTATTCATGTATGTACATACAGACCGAATAAAGATTATTGATTCTGATTCTGATTCTTTTGTACAGCAATTGTAGAAAGTTATTGAATGTGGTAAATACCGGTAAAAAAAATGAAGAAAATTCTGCATTTCATTATAGAGACAAAGAGCTTACAAACAAAATTTACAAAATATTTACTAAAAAAAATAGAATGTATTTGGTTATTTTCGCTTTACGTTTGAATTAAGTTGCTATCTTTTGACTTTGACGTGTAATAAAAATGTTAATACTCTAAACCCCACTTTTTTATACCATTTGAAAGATAATTTTATTCTCTTTCCAGCAGTAAATATTTACTTCTCTTTGTAACAAAAATTAACAAAAAAATTACTAAAAAATAGAAGGTATTTTGTTTTGTTATACGTTTGAAGAATCAAATTGTTAATACTCTAAACCCCACTCTTATTTTTATACCATTTAAAAGATAATTTTATTCTCTTTCCAGGAATAAAAAATTACTCCTCTTTGTAACAAAAATTTACAAAAAAATTACTAAATAGGTAATAGAAGGTATTTTGTTTTGTTTCACGTTTGAATCAAGTTGTTTTCTTTAGACTTTGATGTGTAATAAAAATGTTAATTCCACTCTAAACCCCACTCTTATTTTTATACCATTTGAAAGATAATTTTCCTTGTATTATACTTGAAATTTAACCAGTTAATTTTTCAGTAGTTTTGATCATTTGTGGTCAGATCCCTAACATAGACTGAGGTCATCACATGATTGATAATCGAGGATTGCCTCGTATGGTAATATTTACTGACAGCCCAAAGAGATGTTACGACCCTGAGAATACATTACATTGCAATGTTAACTTAAACGACCTCTAAACACATTTCAATTAGTGGATGGTATGTTAAAACCTGTAATTTAGTGTTAGATCACAGGAATTACTGTAAGCTAACCTTCGCGGCTTGGCGGTGACCATCGTGAATGGCTGGCATGTGGCAGGTGCAATGCTTCCGGCTCTACAATGCACGTAAATACATCCAGGATAGAATCATCAACATGCCAGAGTGATTATTGATTATTGATCATCTTACAATTCAAATTTCCTATCATATTATCATGATGCTGCTGATGATAAAACTTTTGACTTTTTACTGTATAATTTTAGATAGCGTTAACGTGGAGAAAAGACTACTAAACTCAATCGTCCATTTAGTATTGGCAATTCCTGGCCAGCTTGAAAGATTTCGACGCGTAATACACGAGTATAAGCAAGATTTTGCAATGTTCACGCATATCTAAGGTCCACCAACACTGATAGCATCTTGAATGGCGAAGATGGCCGACAACACTCCGTTGCCTCACGGTATGAAATATGCGACACGGAAGTCTGATGCTATTGTGTTTATGTTGTGATGCGGAGCATCGGAGAGAGTGTCTTGAACTTGAGGAACAATTCACAGGAAACACAACCGCATATTATTCATAGATGTTTTAATTTAGTTGAGTTGCTATCCTTGCTGAATAATTTATTGAAGGTTTCCTTAATATCGTATTGAAAACAATTACAGCTTTTACGTTTAAGGCTCGTAGACTATTAACATAAAAACCTTAGACAACGATTCTTTAATTTGACTAACTCCAGTGAATTAGTAAGAAAGTCCGTCTTAGTAATCGTTACTTTATTTAATTTCTTATCAAGCAGTGTTAGTTATATTTTGTACATATGTCCACAGAAAGGTGTGGTAGTAATGTTAAATTCTTATTTTGTTTATTAAAATAACATAAATTAATTTTGGTAATATTTTGTATCAATTTTTCTCAAGCAAATTATTTATCGAAAATTATTTAAAGAAGAAGTCAATCACAAAACTAAAATGATACTAATCTCTGATGTCAGAATTTACATGACTGTTCCATGAAAAAGTCGTCAGGCCTACTCATAGCTGTAGTATATTATTTAGATATTAGAAAGGTAAGTTTTTTTTTTATAATCCCACGTAAAATTTTAAATACGACCCCAAAATCTACCTAATTGAGTAGCATAAAAATTTGAATCAAGTAATATAACAAAAAATATTATTATAAGCACTAATATTACTCGTATATTACTTAATATTTACTTAAATGCATTGCCACTTGTAAAACCCAGTGAAAGGTAAGAATATTTTGTCTTAAACAGAATAAATTGTGATTCCTGCCTTATCAATTCTAGATATCGTCAGTTGAACTTAGATGGCTCTTATAAATCTTTTGTAATGGCTTCTGGTATCGGTGCTAAATCGTTTAAAAGCTTTTAAATAAATAACGTATACGCCAGAAACACATTAGAGAGAAACGCAGGGAAAACATAATAGACCCATATTTCTTATACAGAGTTCAATAAAGTAATGTCTATTAAATTTTATGATAAATGGGGAGTTATTTCATATTATATTATTGAATTTTTGTATTTCCCCCCTGAAGAACTCCAGGATTTCAAGATATCAAGGCAACCTTCTAGCAACAATAAAGAATAAAATAATTATTTTAAATAGCTGTAACAAAATTTTCATTGAGCATCAAAAATATTGAAAATCTAGCTATCTTCTATTTACCTCCTGATTGCTTATAGCGACCTTCAGTTGATAAGGAACCTCTACGAATGTATTGGAGTTTATTAGTAACAACACGTAAGCATATGCACGGCCAATAACAATGAACATGGAAAATAATAGTTTTGATCATATACTTTAATTCAATTTAATATTAACCTTTTTACCACTTTTCTTAGTTGAAATATTTAAAAATACAAAACGTGTAAGAACAAAACCTTCTTTAATCCAATGTATGAAAAATAATACTTTTATTAAATAGACTTTTGCATAGATCGTGTGCCTAATGCAAGATAATGGCCTCAGTAAGTCCAGCTCACTGCCACTAACGTTCACGAACCCTCAACATTACTGCCAAGGACACACGTGTTGCTTCACAGTATCGAGGGAACACATTCGGTGCCAAATAAGACCCGATCGATCTCATTTCCATTTGGAACCCATTTGTCAACTAGCTCCCTCTCGTCTCTCAGCCGCTCCATTTCCTTCTCCAGCCGTTGACGCTTCATTTCCTTCTCCTCCATCAGCTTTGTCATTCCAGCTACTTTTCTTCATTTTCTCGTTCCAGTTTTTGTATTTCTTCCAACTTTTCAAGTTCTATTTCCATTTGTCTCCTGTTGCTTGATGTTGCGGATTTACTTTTTGTTTTCCTTGAACTAATAGAAGTAATTCTGGTTTGTCTCAATGCTATTCCTTGAGTGTCAATGTTTGCATTCTCAGAAACTTTCTTTGATAATTTGTCAGTATCATTATTTTCATTCTGATCAGGGGAATACATTTTTGGAGGTTTAACTTTTTACTTTTTTGTTGTTGTTGCTATCAGATGACAAATAAAGAGTTAATCAGCAACATAATAGTGATAAGTGTCTAGGTTATTTATAAATTGATTGAACACATACCTTTACGTGTAACTTTTAAGACACTTAATATTTTTTAGATGTTGAAGATGATCCTTCTTTCAAAGATGATAACAAGGAAAATGAAAAGAACAGTGCAGCAACCAACGTTCAAATTGAAGTGGCTGCCAATGACAACGAAAGAAAAAAGATTATTAAAACCAGTTCAACTGGAAAACATGATCATGATCAAAACAAAGAAAAAGAAATATCAAATAATAATTCTCAGAGCACCATAAAAAGGGAAAGTTCTGAAGTTGAAGTTTCTGATACTCTAAGGTAAGATTGTTTACTTGTTCCCTTACATGTAGGACAAGTGCACCAGTGAATAACTATTTCATATAAAAAAATGTGAATAATAAATTTATTGCTTTGCTTTGTCTAGCTCCAAAGAAAGTATATAAAATAGGTCTAATAACACTTGTAACATTAATTACACTTATACTGTTGATACACAAGGTGGTAAATGCATTTAAAAGATCGCAAGTAGTGATTGATTTCGATTGGATACTCCAATCATCACCAGACCCAATAGGCCCAATAGAATGACAAGAACCTCGATGGCGTCCATACTTATATACTACTAGCTTGTACCTGCGGCTTCGCCTGTGATGGTATAACCATGAATGTCATACAGCATAAGAAATAAACAGAGTATTACAATCAATACAATAATCCGTAGTGACTTCGCCAACTATCACAAAAATAAAATATTATTCATTGCGTCACACACAGTTTAAAAAATAATGTTACAATTAAAAATTATACAGCGATTAAATTTCAATTAAAAACTAAATGAAAACCATTTAACCCAATACAACATGTTTAATCTCCTACTAAATAAAATCTTAAAACTGAAAATGCCACGACTCTTCAGCTTCAAAGTATAATTCTTTCAGCTGTATCGGCTCTTCTAATACAGGTAAAGAAACTTTTCCACCAGAACAACACATTCCAGCAGGTTCAGCTTTCCATTTCCTCTGCTCTGCAGAGTATACACTCTCTGCCTATTCAATATATTTTTAGTCTTGTTGCGTGGTATTCCATTCCATCATTTTCAAACACACAAGAAATACAGTTCGGCCAAAGTTTCTGTGCACATGACCAGATATGGTTGGGATATACCCAACCATATCTGGTCTCGCATAGGCGAGGGGGTTGGCGGGGGTACTTTTGTGTCTTGTTATTCACTAACCCCTACCTCCAGCACTGCCATTACCTGGTACCCGTATGTTTTAGTCCGGCTAGTAGCGACCCGTCCACATGCACAGAAGTCTTGGCCGAACTGTATCTCTGTTAAATGCTTTTCGCCATTAGTCTAATTGAGGCTGTAGCTGCTAAACGGGCCTATCTCAAACACTGATATTTTGAGATAATCGCTGTTAAAGTTTAGAGGTTATGTTTGGCTGTCTGCGTTGGCTATGCTTAAAGGGCCTGGTGACACCAGCTGACTTGAAGAGTCATACGAACAAAAAAAAAAAAATACCATTCCAAATTATCAAAGATTTTACTAGAAGATACGAGGAAGCAAAATAGCGATTCTCCTCTCAAAGGGCCCGTCCTAAAGTTTGACACAAAAGGCCTATGTTAGGTTATGTTTGGCTGCTGTCAGCATTGGCACTTGTCCATGCTAAAAGGGACACCAGCTGGCTTTCAGAGTTATACTAACCAAACAAACTGAAATACACCATTCCAAGTGATCAAAGATTATACTAGAAGACATAAAGAAGTTAAATAGCGAATCTCATCTATGCCCATCTCGACTTATGCCCCTTTAGCAGATACAGCTGTATCTATATAATTAATACGCAAACACGACATTTGTCGGTTGAACTCCTCCGCCATTTCTTAACCCATTTCATCTATTGACGTCTCACTGGAAAGTGTGTGCTGCGTAGATTTGCAAACTGACCTTACATTTTGGAAAAAGCACTTTGGGGCCCTTCTTGGAAATACTCAAAATAAAACAGCCAAAAGTCGCACCCAAATAAAAAGTGTTAAAAACTCCGTTTTCAATGTATTTCTTATGGAAAAAATTTTTTTTCAAAAATTTTCATCATAAATCATAACAAAAACAAACTGTCATAATTATTTGCAAATCTACACGACCTAAGCTTTCCAACGACCCATTAATTAATAAAATCGGCCCAGTAGAACTCTAGATTTAGTTGTACAAAGATTTTTAAAACTGAATTATATATAGAATAGATAAACTATTATAGGCTAACTACATGTACGGTATCTTAAAAAACATCAATATGCAATAAGGTATTTTACAATAATCACTTGGACAAGCACTGCATCTGCCTTAAGTTTGAAGGTTATGGGTTAGGGGGCTATCCTCTTTACTCATTACATTTATAAGAATGATAAAGTCACTCGTCTCTGACAGACTGAAAATATCAAACACAAACTTAGTAGGCCTATTATCTATATATTTAATACACAGTTGTAAGTCTGGTTTCTCAATAATTACTGGACCGATCCAAAAGATTTATGTCTCAAATTAAAGGGGATAGTGCGTAGATTTGCCGAACTTCCTTAGATTTTACATTTTTTCTAAGGGCTACGACCTACAGCCCTTTAAAGATTGAGTCAATACGTTTCTTATTAAAGAGTATACAGTAATAAACAGTTTATAAATTATTCGTCAGCTGTTTAAGGTTTGCCAGACATTTGTTATTATTTTTATAACCTCTTGTTCACTATGTAATAATTATAATCTAGGAATTCCTGTTAAAAAAAAACACGATTTGGAAAAAAGAAAAGTGTATTTGTTAACTTTTTATACCACAATGTATTACAGTAGAACCTCTTTAATCCGAACTAATTGGGACCAGGGGTAGTTCGGAATATTGAATAGTTCGGATTACAGAACATATTGTTGTTTTTACATAACAATAGCTAAAACATGGCTTAAATTGATCAACATTATTTTGTGAAAAGTGAAAAAATGTTTTATAAAGTAAAATACAGTGTTTATTTAATACAGTAGTAAACATGGTGAATAAACAGTACTGTAAATTAAATACAGTATACAGTAAAGAACTGCTGTCCTGTGTATAGAGTACAGCAATGAGGGGTTCGGATTAGTGGACGTTCAGATTACGGGTGTTCGGATTAAAGAGGTTCCACTGTACTTATAAATGTATTTGAACATTATTTGTAGCCTACGTTTTGGTGCAAATTTTGTATTTTCGAATAAAGTTTTAGTTTTCCTACGAAGTGATCTGAAGGAAAGTGGTAATTGTTTGAATTTGAGCATGTAATGTGAAAGAATACCCATCCATAGTAGGCGACGGAAACTTATTGTTTCGATCAGTAACATTTATTCTCTATTGCCACCGCCACTAGAACATCATAGGGAAATCCGCTTGCAAGTTGTAGCCTACAGAAAATTGCTAATGAGTGGGAAACATACAAACATTGTATTATAGGGGATTAATCTTACTCAAGGTCAATGTTTGATGTTCAGGAGAGCCAAACTTTTTTCTAGAGATGGTGAGAACGCTGGATAGGCCTACGTGGAACTACAATGTAGATTTTGTATTTTCAACAAATGTGTTACTTTTCCTGCGAAGTGATCCAAAGGAAATTGGTAATTGAGTTTAAGTTGGAGTATGGATCGGAACGTGTAATAATACCCATAGTTGGGGCGGAAACTGTTTGTTCCGATCAACATAATTTATTCTCTACGGCCACCAGAATAATCATAGGAAAATCCGCTTGCACGTTGTATAGAAAATTATTGCTAATGAGTGGAAAACATACAACCATTTTAACATAGGGATCAATCTTACTCAAGATCAGTGTTAGACGTTTAGCAGTACTAAACTTTACTTCTTGAGATGGTGAGTGCGCTGGATACGTCGAACTACAATGTAAATGTTGTATTTTTGAAAAATGTGTTTGTTTTCCTGGTCGATCCGAAGGAAAGTTGTAAATGAGTTTACGTTTGAGTATGGAACGTGAAATAATACCCATAGTAGGGGATATAAACTGTTTGTTCCGATCAAAACAATTTATTCTCTACGGCCTTCAGGAGATCAATCATGGGGAAATTCGCTTGCAAGTTGTACAGATAATTGCTAATGAGTGAGAAACATATAAATAAGCAATAAGTAAAGGTAGACATTTAGGATTGTTGTTAGGATTGATTATTGCTTCAGTAATATGTTTACTTTTACTTATTCCCTTTCACGAGACATGGTAACCAAGAAAGTCAATCTCTGGTACAAGGAATTGAGATTTAGAAACATTAATGTGTAAATCGTTGTCTTTGAACCGATTTAATACAGCACGGAGTCTTTTCAAATGTTCTTCCTCACTGTGGGCTGTTATTTTGACATCGTCAAAGAAAACATCAACACCATCAATACCTTGTAGAATATTTTCCATTGCTGATTGCCAAATAGCAGGTGCACTTGCAATTCCGAATGGTAGACGATTTACTTGATATAGACCTTTGTGTGTATTGATTGTGAGCAATTCTCTGTATTCTTCTTTCACTGGCATGTGTAGGTAAGCTTCGGATATATCAATCTTTGTAAATTTAGTCGAATTACCCATTCTGGCCAAAATATCATCAATGCGGGGCATGTTGTGTTCTGGTATTACCAAATGGGGATTGAGGGTTACTTTGTAGTCTCCACACAGTCTGATATTCCCATTTGCCTTCATAATCGGTACAACTGGAGTAGCCCAAGAACTCTGATTCACCTTTATAATTATACCTTCTTTTTCTAGTCTGTCGATTTCTGCACTAACTTTTGGTAACAAAGCATAAGGTAGTGGTCTAGCTTTTTTAAAAACTGGTGTAGTGTCAGGCTTTAAGTTTAGAAGTGCTTCTCCCCCTTTGAAACTTCCAACTCTTGGTTCAAATATGGATTTAAATTCCATTAATATATCGTGTACTTTGGGATTTGAGTGTCTCTATTCAAGTCAGCTCCGTGAACGTTATTTATGTCTGACCAATTTATTTTAATCGATCTCAGCCATTCCCTACCAAATATCGTATCTCCATTACCATCGACTATATACAATGGAAGATATTTGGTTTGGTTCCCGTAACCAACCTGAACAATGGTTTTACCCAATGGAACAAATTCATTTTTGTTGAAATCTCTTAAGATCATGTCTGGATTCATTAAAGGTCTGTGTTTTGGAAAAAACTTGGAAAAGTTACTTTTTGACATCAAAGATACCCCTGCTCCTGTATCTAGTTCAAACGGAATAGTTTTCCCATTTATTTTTATGTTTAACATAATTTTCCTAAATTT